TACACTCTGCATTCCCTAGAGGGCGCATCCCACTGTTTGGGAACCACTGCACTAATGAATACTCCAATGCGAGCATAAATTGACCGATGCAGAAATAAAACACTTATATCAGCCAGAAGATGTATCGGTATGTAGGATTGTGTGTTTGCATGTATCAATCTTTACTTCAAGGCTGTAGAATCCTTTATTTATTTATTTATTTATTTCCAGCAACTTCTTCCTGTTCATTTTTACATCGAATTAGGTTTTTCTTTAAATCGTTTATTGAACACATTCATGCTGCTGTGTGTGGTTCTTGACTATGAGAAAATTAACTGAATTTGATGTTAAGCAAAGTGTGGGAACCTTGAGTTACTTTTTGTCAGTGTAATACTTTAAAACATGACTTTACTTTTAACAAACATTGGTTTGGCCTCCTATTTAACAATGAAGTAAAGTTGTGAAAGAGGGTCATTCTTACTGCTATTTATGAGCAGCGGAGTTTCAACATCAACCAGCACAGAATACAGGACAGGTCTATGGTTGTATGAAAGCTGAAGCTGAGGATTATGTAAAGGCTGAGAAGAATTAGTGCAACTCAAAGAACAACTATAGTGGACTTCCTCTTTTTTTAAAACTAAACACAATAAATCTTTTTTGGCATTAGTTTAAAAATGTTTATGCAATACTAAAGGATTGTTCAAACTAGGGCTGCAACTAATGATTATTTTGCAAATCCATTAATCTGTTGATTATTTTTTCGATGAATAATAATCGGATAGCCAAATGTTCCTTAATGAAGACTTTTTATTAAATTAAACCAGGTGAAACTAAAACATTTCAATTTGAGTTCTGGATTGAGCATATTGAAAGACCTTCATTTTAACTGCAAAATGTTTATATTTTTCAAAATCTTGGTATAATTACTGCACTAAGTGAGTCGCTCTATCAGCTGAAGGCATGCTTTAGAGTCTCTACACTCCAGTTAATCATTAATTGATTACTAAACTAGTTGACGATTACTTAAATAATCGATGAATCAAAATTAATTAATAGTTTCAGCCTAGTACAAACCTATACAACTCTAGTGTGTTTAGCCCACATCAGTTCCTAATGTATTTGTGGGAGGGAAATTTTCCTGACTCATCCTCATATAACCTGCTGATTACTGTGAGCCTAATTGTGTTGATGCGGTAAATGACATGCTAGTATAAATGTGCATTCATGATCATCTTCTCATGTCTTTTCTCAGCTGGCCTTCATAATGCCAGCAGATAGTATCTACAACCTCCACCCCTCTCAGAAAACCTCCATTTGGCCAATTTAAATCTGAACAAACCCGCTGCTCGGACTGCTAATGGGTCCTGCATGTAGTTGAGTCCTGCTCTGGTCTCCACGGAGACAGGTAGAAAGAGGCAGGGCCGCTCCTGATTAGTGAGCTGCTCTCTCTGTTTAATACCCAAGGCCGTGCAGCTGCTCCCCTCCTCCCACTGTTTGGTCAACGAAACATAAAAGGCTCTAATGGCAGGTAATCTCACATCTGCCCTCAGGAAAGATAAGAGATATTCCTGCTTAACATAAAGCAGCTGGCGTAGCTTCGTTGATGAGAAACCACAACTTTTAAACTTTTATATTCATTTTTTACTAATTCTTATCTGTACATTGTGGATAAAACTGAAGATGTAGATTATTTTCCCCCAAACAATTAAAACCAGAGTTACTTTTTTGTATATTATGTAGCTTTCATGGATTTTTATTAAAAAAGGCTATTTAGTTTCAGTCAAGCATAACGTCTGCATTGTATTAATCCAAAATCATAAAAATACACTGCAACAATTTTCAAGTGAAATAAAATGACTCAAATGTTATGTTTAAAGGTAACATATGTTTGCTTCACTGACCTCTGCTGGCAGGTTGTAGAATGTAGCAGCCTAAATATCACTTTCCGTATTTATGCCTAAAAACTGCTAAGATCAAGTTGTAAAGCATTATTTACTTGGAAGAAAAAAAGCTGTTCAACATGTGTCTAGATGTCCTGTCAGGCAAATGATTGCTGACAACTGTGTAGCTCTTATATGCTAAGAGAACTGTTGGGAGGCTCCTATCCTAAAGGAACTATCAAACGAAAGTGTCCTACTTCCTCTTCCTACCTCCTTCTTTACTGCCAGTTTACAAAATTCAGATTTTTGAAACTGGCAGGGGGATCATCAAAATAAGTGGTCTTCCTAATTGTCAATTATTCTGGTGATATGTTAATGTAAGACCGTCCTATGTGCTCGTCCCCATTTTCACTTACCGGTGTCGAGTCTGACATAGTGAAAAAATTGCAAATCTTTTGAAAAGTAAGCTTGAATGAACGATGCAAACGGCGACTTTTAAACAGAGCATGCACGAGGAGAAATGGGCTCATGCATCTTCTGCACATGTTTAATAGGCGTTCCCTCTTGGGAGCAGGTTACAGGGTTGTGCATGTGCTTTTTTTTTTAAGAGGAGAGGGTGAAAATCCTCCACTTTACCTTTTAAGTTTTGGGAAAAAAGTCCTTATTTGATGTATTTAGGGAATTAATCACCATACAGTTTGCTGTCAAGCTCAAAGCTAATCTAAATAACTTAAAACATCTTTAATTAGGACCGGACGACGTGGCCAAAACTTATATCGTGGTAGATGTGCTAAATTTAGTCTATGTGTATGGTATTGATATGAACAAAATAAAATACCAAAGACTGACAAGTTTACTTAGAACAGAATCCTGTACAAACTTATTATCCAATATAACATTAAAGAAATATTTGCCTTAAAGACAAAACTAGACAAAATCCATAAAGCCACGAACATGAGTCAGTAACAAATGATTTTTTAAATAGACTTTAATAACTTTAACTTCTGCATCTGAACCGTTTATTCTATAGATCATTTCTGGCTCTTCAGACTAGAAACAATTTTTTTTCCTTTACTTTTTCATTTCTTTGTAACATATCATGGAACATATATAATGTTCAGACATGAATTGCTTAAGTTTTAAGTGCAGATTGAATTTGTTTTCTTATACTCAGTCAAAAGCCTCAAATTCAGAGTCAGGAGAGAACAAATCTCTGGAAAAAAAAAGGTTAATTCAGAAAATCAGCTTTCCCTAGACTGAGCTTATTGCACCACTTTTCCTTATTTTAGATATCTTTATACTTCTAATGAGTTAACATTGCACAGCAGTATTTTTAGTCAACTTTCGATATTAAAGATGTTGAATAAATAGTTAATATGTTAAATTAAGCTTATTGACATGATTTAAACTCATAGCATGCAGCAGTGCAGCGTTATAAGCAGACTAGATGCATCTGATCAGATGTTTCACATTCAAAAGTGAGATTTGACTTGGAAAAACAAAACTTGTCGTTTTTTACACCAGCTGCACTGAATGCCAGCAGTTAAAATGTAAGAAATGCACATTGATTCCAGATGGCCTCATGTTTTAATGCATTTATATTAAAGGTATTATTTTGTCCTTCCTGGTGTCTAGATGGCGTCGAACGACTCGCGGCTACATCAGCCCCCTCCTCAGAGAGACGCAGCCGACCAGAACTTTGACAGCATGTTCAAGCTGCTGATCATCGGCAACAGCAGCGTCGGGAAAACCTCCTTCCTCTTCCGCTACGCAGACGACTCCTTCACCTCTGCGTTTGTAAGCACCGTGGGCATCGACTTCAAGGTCAAAACAGTCTTTCGCAACAACAAGCGGATCAAGTTACAGATTTGGGTAAGTGGATGAAACCTGGGATCTGTGATGCGATACCAGATCACCATATTGCATATAGTTGTTCAGCTGAAGGCATCGATATCAGACTCATTCAAACTTGAAAATGTTTGTTTACATTGAAAATATTTGAACTAAAATCCACTAAGACAAGCAGAGTGTTTGTCTCTGTGGGTTCAACCATTGAGCAAGTTTATCTTGTCAGTCGTGCATGTGAAAAACCAGAACTTCCTTAAGTTTTCACATTTTTACTTTCTGCTGTTTCCTTCTACTGAAAGTTCACAGTCGATGCCTGGAGAGATCGATGGTGCTGATTATCGAGGTGTGGTGCAAGTTTCAGGTTTCCAGAGCTGTGCTTGGTCCAACGCAGCCTCATTTAAGCCTGGCTTTAAAGAAAGTTTATTTTCTTTTTTTTTTAGTTTTTGCGGCACTAGTGGCTCCTATAAAGTTAAAGCCCTGATTTTTTTTTTTTTTTTTTTTTTTGGTTTGAAGAGATAATTTAGGACATTTGAGTAAAATTAGTTTTCGGTTATCCTCTCCTTAGTCAAGTTTTTTGTGTCTTCTGTTCAGATTAGTTAAGGCTAGAAGCTAATTCAGGTGTTTATGATCAAAAGGGACACCTAGAGTCTTCAAACAATCCTGATCTCACACATATCATTGCAGTTTATGCACGACACTTGCTTATAAAACTTTAAAACATCGCCTTTTTTGCAATGGTTGGTTATTTATACAAAGCATTTTATTATTTAGAGAAGACGTGGATCTAAATTGTGGCATGGATTAAATTACCTTCCTGTCCAGTCAGTATCCCAGAATAAAGAAAAGTTGGCAGACCTCAACATTTTAGGAAAGTGTTCCAGGTTTTTATGGAATGCACAAGACTAAAGATAATTTTTATCCTTTTAATTAGTGTTTATAGACTTTTTATAGGAGGAGTTTCCCAGAACAGAAGAAATAAGCCAAAGGCCCGACTTTTAAATTTTGGAATCAGTGAAGCAAAGATGGCCGTTTACCTGTCCTCTAGAGACAGACTGCTGGAGGGAGCTCACCTTGATGCCGTGGCTCTGTGGAAGTGCAACGTTAAAGCCAGAATAAGGCTGGAGTTTCACTTCCACAGAGCCACACAGAACATGGAGGATTTTATTCAGTTGTGGGGTTTTAGCATTTTATTTGATGTGTCCAATGAAGGAGAACTACATCTAAAAAAGCTCTTTGAATTGTGTAAATAAAGTGTCAAATGTCAACATTTTTACGAAATAACCTTCTACAAAAAAAAAAAAATTATTTACAAAAATAAATAGAAATGTAGCTCTATTACACATTTATGACAACATTTATAACAGTCCATGATAACGTACACCGCTGGAGTCTAGTTGTTGCGGGAAACAAGAGCTTGCCAAATGTTCCTAGCTCCACACTGAATACATAATAACCAATACATTCACATGATTGGTAGCATCTCTTTGCAGCACTTTGAGTTTTTCATATTGAATTTTAAAAATTTTTTTAGCCTCTTTGACACTAGGCCTGTTTTCAAGAAATATGCTTAAAAATAACATGCAGAAAATGAATTAAATATATCTCAAGAACTACAGAGTTTATTATTGTTTTGGTATCAAAATAAAGGCAAGACCCCAGAGAATATGTTACAGGTCTAAAAACCAACTTGGGGCGAGTGCTGAGGACCCAAATTTGGGTCCTCATGTTATGAAAAGGTTAACTAAAAAAGCAACTCCATAAGTTGGTTTTCCCCCATTTCACAACAAAAACACAAACATTAGCTAAACTTTTACCTTTGTAAATACTATCAACTCACTCGATAAAGTAAAAGAATACAACTACTTTGGTTTTCTAAAATGACTTGAATTATTTTTGCCTATTAAACAATTGGTGTTTAGGGTTTACACAACTAAAAATAGTTTTTCGGCTCAAAAGAAGGAAGTTTCAGTTTTTATTTTATTATTATTTTTTTTTTTACAGCTGCCTTAAAGTCAGTAAAAACATTTTCATTTTATCCTCCTAATTTATTTGTTTATTTAGGAGTTACAACAGCTCATATTTAATGATAGTTCTGTGGTTTATAAGATGGTATTTTTTACACAATACTGCAGTTTTTCCCTGATCTGTCTGAGCTCTGATAGATTTAGCCTCTGGCTTTGTTCCGTCTGTCCAACAGTCTCAGGTTTTTAATCGTGCAGAGGGCAGACTAAATATTTTAGCATTTTTGTGTTTGTGTGGATATGACTTCAAACATATTTCACAAAAGTTGCAGATAATCTCAAACTGAGGAAACTCTCTTCATATTTCTAGTTGGTGCCTGGTGCTTCAGCTGCTCACTTTTCCCTCCTACGCTGGGAACTTTTCCTGGATATAAGAGCAGAGGACTCGCATTAGTACAAACTGGGCGTTCACAATACATTTCTGGATTCTTTACAGGATACATGTTCCAATCTGTTCTGATTTGTCTGTTTTTTTCACCCCTAATTTTCCCTAAGTTAGTGGCCTGGTCATTCCTGCTTCACCCACCTGCCTGCATCTTAGTGGAGCCATGGATCCTATTGGCAAATCAAACAGATGATTCATTTGAACTAACAATCTGTGAGCCACGGTATGTTGGGCAAACAGCATTATTGGCAGCAGAGGAGCCCACACCAAAACACACAGCTGGTCACCTTCCTGACCAAACACTTGGTTCTTATAAACGGAGTAATGATCTGTAGCAAAATGTACCGAGAGCTCTCGAACTTTGACCCATTTAGCCTCATCAAAAACAGACATGAATCAGTTTTATTTGTTATGTAACAGACAAAATTTAAATACTGCAACTTTGCTGACTCATTATTTAACAGGATAATCTTTTACCACAAGAACAGCTGCAGTTCTTTTTGAGTCTTTATCACTTCAAGACATCTAGATTCAGAGTGTTGTGTCAATTAATGTCTGAAAAATAGCTTTTTTTTTTTTTTTTTTTTTTTTTTTTTACTTTTGCCTCAAATTTTATATTGTCTTTTTTCTGTACCAGGCCATCTCAGTAGATTATCATCTTTTAAACTGTCCCCTTGTCTTAAGTCTTTTAAAGAATCTAAAAGTTTAAAGACAAATTAGTTTTGCAACTTCCTGCTTCCTGCTAAAAAAAGTTTCCCCAAAGCATGATGCAGCCATCATTGTTTCTCACCATTGCAAACAATAGGCTCCTCCCAGACTTTTTCTATTTGGCTGTTATTTCAATCTGAAAAACTAACAAAGAGGAAAGACAATTAGAAGAAATGTATTGATACAAATACTTGGTCTTTGGCACTCAGATCTCAGCAGGAAAAATAGGGTTGAATTTTGATAGATATGCATGAACAGGAGTAAAGAACAGGGCTGTTTCCCCCCAGGCCTGAAACTGGTGGTGGAGTGGAGATAGATAGATAGTGTAGTTGGTCAGTCTGTAGACTGCTGGTTAGTGAGACGGTCTGCTGAGCTTTATGGGGAGATCCCAGTGGACTGCGTGAGCTGATTCTAGAGCTTCACTCAGGGACCTGGAAGATGGAAGTCCAGTTGGATAACACAGGTTGAGAAAACCTGTCCATGATGAGCAAGCATGAAGCGACAGTGGAGAGGAAAAACTTACTGCTGGGAAGAAACGTCTGGCAGAACCAGGCTCAACATGGCGGTCTTCAGCTGGACTGGTTGAAATGAGACGTAGAATGCAGTAAGAGTCCAGGAGGAATGAAACTCTGACAAAGTTTTAGCGACGATATTGGAGGAGGGGATGGAGGTGGGTTGAAACGGTGTCATCTGAATGAAGTCACACAGCGCATCCGCCGCCTGCGCACAGGAGCAGACAAGTTGCGTATCGGAGGCCTTATTAGATGAACTTTGGATGCTAATTGGCTTTCATGGAGGTGTGGTTCAAAGCCGATCAGCCGTGTTGCAGGTGGATGTAGGAGAGCAATCAGTTTCTTCAGTTGAACTTCCGCTTAGGCTCCATTTCACAAAAATACATTACATGTAGCTACATTCCATTTATATAATAGATGCCCTATGAAAACAGGCTGCTTTTGATTTTATTTAATACATCAACATAAAGTTGGCTGATGCAAGTCACACTTTTCGGGGTGGGTTATTTTTTTTATGGAAAGCCATTTCACTTTCCTATCAACGCATTAAACATGCTCGACTTTACTGTTGGCCTGTCCCATAAAAATCCCGCTGAAGTGGTTTAAAGTTTGTAACCAATAAATGTGAATCACATCCAGTTGTGTGAGCATTTTGCAATGATTAGCTAAACACAATGATCTGAACTTCCAATAAAAGGTGACCAGAACACTGTGTGTGACTGCCTGGTCTCTATGGAGCCCCTAGTGCAGCCAAATGACAAAGAAAGCTGGTATTTCCTAAGTCCAGGAAGCAGAGGAAGTCTCCTATCAGCATCTGAGCAGGACACAATGGAGATTTATTACAGCGCCACTGTAACAGTGTATTTAAAGGGTGTGGAAGCAGCAGGCACTGCTGAGAATGAGGGCTGTTAATCATCAGCTCCATAGAGCTTCCTGACTGTTAGATCAAGTTAGCTACCGTAGAGCAGAGAGTGCTGCTCGCTGATTATTCTCTGCCAGATGTTTAAAACCAGCTGCTCTGATAAAACGCCTCACGGTCCTTTAGACGATTAGCTCACCCAGAGCAGGATAAGTGTGTTTACATTGTTCACACATGCATCCTTTTCTTTCTGACAAGTGGAAGATATCACTGATCTCACAGTAAACACACACACCTTTCATACACTTTGCATTTAAACATCCAGACATATGGGGAGTGTGTGTAAACGTATGTGTGTGGTATCCCAGAGGACGTACTCTGCTGTTTTTTTTTGGCAGCTAATCTAAACAGAGGTGACGCATGTTTGAAGAACAGGGTCCCAGTGACGTCTGACTACCTGACTGTGCAGCAGCCTGATTTAAAGCCTCTCCTATTCGCTGTCACACACAGGCTCGCTGGAGGGCAGGTGTTGTCTGCTGTTTGGGTTTGTTTGGTGGTAACCCTAAACACCATCTGTTTGGTTAGTCATCACATTTTTTCCTGGCTAATATTTGATCATTTCTGGATGGCTGAGATACTGATGGAGCTAAAGTGCCTCCTGTTTAACTAAAACAAACCTAGACTCTGCAGGAGGGCAGATCATGGAGGAAAAAAGATGGAGAAAAAAAAGGTTTATCTGCTCAGGAGATCCATGCATTATCACACCTTGTTCAGTACTGCCTGTGATGGATACATTCATGACCCTAACTGGCCTCTGGTTACCTAGACAACGTACTCCCTCGCCTTCACAAAATGAGATAAACTGCAGAGAAACATTCAGGCCCCTTAATCAGACCAAGGAGAAGAAGAAGCAGTTAAATAAAAGTTCTTATAACTCTTCTTTAGGCTTCAAAATGTTTCCATCATTTTGTATGAAATTGCATTTAGCTGTCCTTCAATCAGGAGACGTTTCTTTTCAAAGAGAGCTCACTGTTCCCAAACAGAGCCAGCGGCCATGTTTCCTTCACTGCCAGCCTCGCATCTGATCTCTGTTCAATGACCCCCTTCTTTAGCTCTCTTATTTATTTGTGTAGCTCTTTTTAACATCCCAACATCAGTTTTCTGTAATAAAATCTTAAAAATCATTCACAAAAAGTCAAATAAATACAAAATAAAATATTACATGAGTAAAAGTCAGAAATTTGGAAAGTGTTTTTCAATAAAACGCTCTTTAAAAAGATCAGTTACCGAGCAGAGATCCAGAGGAACTGGTTTGAGTGTCAACTTTCCATTATTCAGTAATCAACTAAACGGCTATTTATTGCTGCTGAAACAATGAAATGTGATTTATTTATTTATTTTTTGAGATAATCATCAACTAATTTAGTAATCGGATAATCATTAAACAGAATTTACAGACTCCAACACAGCATTAACTGAAAGAGCCACCTACTCAGAGCAGTAATCCAATGGTCAATTGATTAATAGAAAAAATAACTGATAGATTAATATATAGGGATCAGGGAAAAAAGGCAGATTTCAGGTTGTAACCAAAGCTAGGGCCGGACGATATAAGATTTTTTTCACAAGAGATTGCGGAATATTTACAATTTATATGGCGATTATCTACTGTATTTTTGTGAATGTCAGTCATTTATCCATATCAGCAATGATCCCATGTTTATCTAGCGCTGTTAGTAAGAAAATGGGCCTGTGTGACATTCAGGACAAGCTTCCTTTCAGTGGTGCCATCGAACAATTACTGAATGGAATGGAAAAAAAAAACACTACATAAATATGGTATATTGCCCTACAGTTTACAAAATATGCAAATATTTGGTTTATATTGCCTAGACGCTAAGCTTTCACCTTTAAAATTGTTCTGTAATGGACTGTTTAACAGACCAGAGAGGTTACATCATTCTCTATGCCAACATCCCACAAGATTCTGTGGATTTTAGTGAAATTTTATGATTATTGAATAAAATATATTCTAGAACATGTATTTATTCAGAGGTTTTTATGTTTTATTTGCCTCCTGACAGATAATTAACCTGTTACATGCCCAACAAAGAGCAAGAAGTAGTGATAATCTGTGCGAACGGTCAGTTAACTGAGTTTGCTATAAAGTCCACTATATATTCGCCGCTCTATATAGTGATTGAGGGATTTAGGTGTTAGGGTGGAGGTTCGGACACAGCCTGAGAGATGTTGGTGTCTTGGCTTTCCATGCCTTTTTGCACCTCCCTTTCTTCATGTGTTCAATACTTCTTCCTGTGCAGTTTCACTTAATTCCGGGACATCTATGGTTTGATTTCTTTGTATGTGTGGAATCCATGGATTGTTACTGAAATTTGGTCTCCATGTCATCTCAATGGCACCTCTAGACATATATTTACTAAGACAAATGGTGGCTTGTTTAATACTTATTTTATAAGAACATGACATAAAAAGGAGCTTAAAATCAAAAATGGAGTTAAAAAATAAAAGTCACTCAATAGGTAAAGTGGCTTAACAAAATAAAATTGTCACAAAATAACACTTCATTCTGAAATAAATACATTTACGTAATTAATAAATCTTTGAATAAATAAAAAATCTTGAAATGTAATAAAATAAGATAAAAATGTAAGCCGCAGAAGCTAAATTGCATGATTTTTACATATACAAGCCGCACCGTACTATAAGCCGCAGGTTTTTTATGTTTACACACAAACTGTCTTGCTCTCGCAATGTCCGTCTTTCTCGCTGTCGTTCTGTCTCGTACCACTCGCGGTAGAAGTCTGCTTCCGGAGCACCTCCGCATTCCCGCACGCGCGGCTACCGTACTTGTCTGTTGAAGTAAATGTGACGTCAACATGGTGGATGGTAAAATCCATAGATTTAGGTATTACCCTAGTGGCCGTTCGCTGTAAAAGTCCATAGATAAGCTGCATTGTTATATAAGCGGCAAGGTCGAAAAATGGGGAAAAAGTTGCGGCTTATAGTCCGAAAATTACTGTGTTTTTATTTATTTAATGGAACATTCAGTGACAATTTATCAATAACAGTATTTATTTAATTTTGATTGAAACTGTTCTCCAGGTCAGGAGGTAACAGTTAAAAACATGCTGCTGCTTTTTAGACCAGTTGAAGGTGGTTGAGAGACGACTGAGTCCATATTCATGTGACATAAAGAAGCAAATATTGAACAAATAAGTGTTCTGAAGATCAGCACCGTTTTAAAAAGGCTTCATTTCAGCTGAAAGGGGTTTTAAGGTCAATTTAACGACTGAATCAACAATTTTTGTTGAACTTAAAATCTTTTTCATAAATCACCTCCAGATTCGTTACAGTTTCACTAAATTTAACATTCGGAGCGCTGACGTCAATGGTGGTATTCTCACAGGATGAAATGCTAACCAGATGCCTGCTTGATAATGAAATTGTGTTTTATGAAGAGATTTTATACTCTGCCACAGATTCGGCTGCACTTGCTTCAAAAATGTTGATGCTGCTTGAACTTTTATTTTATTCTAGCCATTTAAACCTAAAACAATGTATTTTAGTGGTACGCAAAGTGTTTCATCCATCCATGCACCCTTTCATCCTCTGTGTTTAGTTGAATCTAAAGCTGAAAATCCTTCTGAATAGTTCTGTGTAATTAATCACATTTGCTGTATAATTGCAGTTTAACAAAATGCTATTTTCAAATCACTGATGTACACAGTGTTGGTCACATTACATTTAACAACAATAAGACTGTAACTTTCTTACTCCAGGCCTATAGGTGGCAGTAATATGCTAAAAGTGGGTTTGCTGCCATGCAAAAGGGAAGATGGTGTTTGCGATCCATGCATGCGAGTAGAAATAAGCACGTCTTCACGCAACAGTAGCAGTGACAAAATCCAATATCAATGGACTCTGGACAAGCAAACTGTCAAGGTTATGAAAACAATGAAAAACTAGAGAAAAAGGTCTGTAGGCATATGGTTAGTGCTTAGGAAAATTCAAAATAGAATCACAATATTGTTGAAAAAATTGCTGTTTTAATTTTTGATTAAAGCCCTAAGCCTGGACAAAACATCCCTCATGGGAAAACATGGTAGTGGCAGCATAATGCTGTGGAAATAATATTGTTTTTATAAATGACAGGTAGGTTTATCAGTTAATATGTGGTGTTATACTCTGAAAAAAACAGGGAACAAAACATGTTGGAAGCAGAAAAAGCCTTGAAATAGGAGGGCTGAGGTTCATCTTTTCTACAGTGGATAGTTTAGATCAAAACATATTTCTATGTTAGAATGTCCTAGTCATAGTTCATGCCTAAATCCATTTAAGTACCTGTAGCAAGATCTTAAAATCGACATGTGCAGGGGTTCACCTTCCTGTGTGATTTTTAGCAAAGGTGTAAAAAAAGAGCAGTCAAACATATCAGTCTCTTGATGTGCAGAGCTGGTAGAGACCAACCCCCAAAGCCTGACAGGTTAAACTAATGAGGGTTTCTCATAAAGAATAGAACATGGATATACTAAACATTTCATATTTTAAATACTTTGTCTTCCTCATTGCCAATAAAGCTTGAGGCCACATAAAATCTCTTCCACAGTATAACTGCTGTTTATGGTTGGAACACGATCAAATATCTAAGAGGGTATAAGGTTCAGTTTGGCACCATGCTAACTAAAAGCTGCCAAGTTCTTTTAGAAGCTTTTAAAGGCTATGAAGGATTATGTAAAGGATGCTTTTTTATTTTATTTTTTGATGATCATCAAATCTTTAGTAAAACTCCCTCTCGTATAATAAAAACTATTTAGTTGTGTTTGTAAAGAAGTTTCTGGATTTTTTAAAATCCTGCTTCAAAAGAATATCAGACCATCATTTAGATGCTTTTCTGTGCCAGAGCCACTGCAGGTCTGACAGATAGTTCCACGCCGCCCCCTTGTGGTCAGTCATAGTATACAGCAGGGTCAGGCGTGAAGGAGTTGGATCAGTTGGTTTTGTTGTTCCAGATGAAGTTGATGTTTTTATGTTTGTCACTGCAGGACACAGCAGGACAGGAGCGCTACCGCACAATCACCACAGCCTACTACAGAGGAGCCATGGGCTTCCTGCTCATGTATGATATCAGCAACCAGGAATCATTCAGCTCCGTGCAGGACTGGTGAGTTGGAAAGCTAAGTCTCCCATCATCTGGATGATAAGAGAGTGTTTGATTCAAATTTAAGCTACTAGTCTTTTATTTTGAAATTATTTGTTGCTTGTTTCTTTTTCCACAAAAATCCCAAAGAATTCATGCAAACATCTTTTTTGGTTCATATCTTCTACTTGATTTTATCCCAAAACACAACTTAACGATTAATTGAAGGTTTCCTTAATGTTGCTGTTTTACATCTGCATCGGCTAAGACACCAAATAATTCTTGTTTGATCTGAAGGATGCGGGTTTGTTTATAGTGAGAGGATTTTGTCTTGCAGGGCAACACAAATCAAAACCTACTCCTGGGACAACGCTCAGGTGATCCTGGTGGGCAACAAATGTGACCTTGAGGATGATAGGCTGATAGCCACAGAGGATGGCCAACGGCTGTCTGATGAGCTCGGTAAGAACAGCTGATGGTAACTCATTCATATTAGACATTGTTTAAAATATTAATAGACATCAAACTGTTTTTATATATAGTCATGTTAAATCCAAAGGACTGTGCATTTTTAAACCATGTCTGCTAAAGACATGGTTTAAAAATGCACAGCTAACAAAAAGCACAGTTAAGTCATGAAACGGTTCAATCCATGATCACATCATTTAAAGAGGAAGAATTCAAAACCTAGAAATTATCATACAGCTGGAGCTGAGGTGGAGAATCTGTTGACCAGAGAACCATTAGTCCCCTTTTTTTTTTTTTTTACAAGTCTAGCCTTGAAAGAGAGAATAAAGAAAGGTATGACTAAAAGATAGCTAAGTATATGTGGAAGAAGATGCTTTGGCAATAACTGCAATTTTTACCCTACAACCTAAAAAACAATGTGGTGCTCAGTATGAAATACTATAATAGCACGGCGGGGGCAGCATCATCCTGTGGGGAGGATGCTGGAAAGGGGAAGCTTATCAGAACTCATTGGTTAAATGTTGTGCAACAAAATATATATTCTCATCAACAATCTTTCAATGTCTCATTCATCTGGACCCGACTAAATTACACCTTTCATCTCCCATTTATTTATTTAGTCTGGTTTATCAGGCTATATTTCTATAACAAAAAGACCCAAATCCAATTTATTATGATAAAACAATATGCTCTGAGTATATGTCCTGATTCTAACTCCTTTTTGAGAATAAATAGAACCACAGGATCTGGTGCGATGAGCTGATATAAACAGATGTTGCGCCATCTGCTGGCTGTACCACTGAAGGTCCAGAAAGGTGTTCACTAGTGCAGCTAAATAAAAACTGACTGCTCTGTAATACCTTATAGGAAACCAACATCTCTAAAGATAGAGCTTAAAACCATCCCTAACACCAGCAGCTCTATCAGCCCGGACATGTACTCACATGTACATCAACTTGGCAGCGACATCCAGGGAATCTTTCCTGAGCTTGAGTTTACTCCAAGACTGTTTTCCCAGCACAGCTCCAGTTTTATTCCTCTTGAAATCAAACCTCTTTTTGCACATTTTTACACTTGATCCTGGATGTTTCCTTTTTTTTTTTTTTTTGTAAAACCACACTAGAAGCTTAAAAAAAGATTAAAAGACAAAAATTACAAATACTACAACTTCAAGGTAAAATAATTTTTTAACCAGAAAATGTTTATATTGTTTTTGTTCCCACCAATAAAAATATACAAATATTGAAATAAAATATAAATGAGGTAAATCAGTCAACGTTCTCAGCAGTGATCAACTAAAAATATTGTAATATACTCAGAACAGCAGAGAGAACAAAACTAAATTAAGTTGCTGATCGTTCAGTCAAGCTCCAGACATGAATATGATTGAGAGTCTTTTGGAACATTTGATAACAGATTTTCTCTATCTAATTTAACTAATCATGTGGGAATTTTGCAAAAGAAGTGGAGAAAATGTTTCATTTAATTCAGTTTATTTATATAGCCCCAATTCACAACACATGTCATCTCAAGGCACTTTACAGTCAAATTGATTCAACGTTTTTTATCTAAGGAAAACCGGTTGATTGCATCGACTCATTGACTCAAATTCAATCACTCACACTAAGCAT